GGCACGAATAATGATTGAAAAATGAATCATTGTAGCTTCAAAAGTAGCCTGGAACTACTCGTAGCCCAGTCTGGATCGGAAGCAAACAATCATGAGGAAGATTACTGTGACTCTATTTATTGAGGAACCGAAGGTTGTTCCAAAAGATCAAGCTAGAGATAATGTGGTGGCCTGAGAATCGCTCGGTGGAAATGCCGTATGCAGATTGGTGCACATTCTGACCAATCATGGTGCGCCCCTTCTTGGTCGACGCGATGTCCGGTTACCCTTGCAAACTCCCCACCTCCGACATCTCGACAGCGTCACCCTGGGCCAGAACGTAATCAGTGCAAGGGAATGATCGGCGATAACCATAGCCAGCAGGTCCTTAGCTAGGCGATTGACCTTAATGTGGGACAATTGCTCTCATGTATCCACAACTTAAGCAGTGATATGGGGATATATTGAAGTGTAAAATCAGTGTTGCCTTGCACCAAACTATGTATGTAGAACGTTTAGGCTCGGAGTGTTGCCTATCAACTGCAACTGTCCTCACTCCTCTGTCCAGCACGGAGCCAATATCTTGGGAATTGCATTAGGGCTCCCGAACGCGTTTAGGGACGAGGTTGGTCCGCAGAATGTGTGGTCCATCTTGTGGGGGTGAAAATGAGGTCTCTGGAGCTCCACTAAAAAAGGGAGGTGGTTGATAAGGAATTTAGTACCCAATTGAGGACTTCTACTACAATATCCTGACTTACGCATGTTCCAACTCGCCGGAAATGTGGCAGTCACACGGGCGTCAGCTCACCCTTTTCACTACATAGAGAGATTAATACCCCGTAAGATCATCAGTAATCTAGTGATGAATACTTGGGAGAAAACTACCGGCGGTACCATACTAACTCATTCATAGTGACCCTTCAGGTTTCGTCTCGATGCCGAATGAAATTATTCCGTGGGCTATTTTCGGGATGACGCACATGCCGGACTTTTTAGCGTTTTATTTGAAAGCTGTGTCAGACTTCTGGGCACCATATGTCTATGAGAGTTCTCTTTTATACCATCTGCTATAGGAAACTCAAACGGACTGATAGTGATGACTGTTTGAATGCCTTGTTGCGTTTGATATGCGAACCGACCCCCTTAATGTGCAGGTGGTCTTTCTGTTCTCTGGTGTCATCCCATGCAGGTTGACCCATCATCGGGAAAGCTAGATTCGCAACAATAAAACGGTTCTCTCCAGGTCGTGGTCGCATCGATCCTCACTTTGCGACAGGTTCTGGAACTGCGTCCCTATTCCTGACAATGAATAATGGTCGTTTCTCTCTATGTGAAAACTGTTTTTAGCTCCTTCGTCCGTCAGCAGCTGTGGACATATCTGGCGATAAAGATTGTCCCTTCTAAATTCTTGTCTCTTATAAAAGCTCTAAATGCTTCCTCTCGTGTCTACGGCAAATTCTCTTCTGAGTTCACCACATCTGGTGATGTGGGGCAAACAAGCTGTATATCGCTTTTTCTCTATAACACTGTATTCGGTCTTTGCCCGCTTCTAACACCTCGGGGACCAAATTACTCCCGAAGCGTCGCTCACATATTAAATGCACTGTCTATATCGCTCTTCCTGGACCAAAACTTTTGGGAATGCAAACCATTTCGAATAGCTCAACCAATTCTGCTTCACGATTCTGCAAGTGTTTTATACCTTAAAAGTGTAGTGCTAATTCAAAACTCGTTGGTATCAAAATCAAACTTCATGCTTTCAGGTGGACCGACCGATTTGATAGAAAAGCTTATCTGTCTGGGCAGCTACCTAAATCCCCGTGAGCTAGCAAAAAACGAAATCACTTCCTGAATGAGGAAGGTCAAGGCGGCATTCGCCAACTTCTGACATTTGCGGCTCAGCTGTCAATGGTGCAGTTGGCAGTGATGCTGTTCCATTTGTTCTGAACATGGCCGCTGCGTGCAGATCCCTGGAGACTGCCGTTTGACCATCGGTGCTTCCAACGACTTGGCGGGGTCTGATGGGAAGATGAGATCGACGATCTTGAAGCACATTAGGGGGTTTTCGGGGAAGTGCACCCTCCATCGATGGATTAGCTGATGACTCCACTGGTTACGCTGGCTGGGTCATGTATTTCGTTTTCCAAAGGATCGCTTGACTAATGGATTTTTTCGTCCAGCCATGTATCAAGTGGGGACTACCCAAAAGTGGCCAGTCGATGACTTGGCAACGAAGCATAGAGGCCCTGATCAGTTGCGTTTGTGAATTCCGCACAGGATGGGGACCCCTGTGACCAGACAAACCAATTCTCAATTATCGAAAGATATGACAGTGTTCCGCGGGCTGTGGTGGTCATAAATCAACTCTCTCGCCTATCCTGTCAAAGTTTTGTATTGTCTACTCCTCGCCATACCTGATAAACAAATATTTGGCGTTAACGAACTGACTTGGTCATCAGCTGCAACGTTTCACTCTCGCTTCATTATTACCATCCTCGGTAAACGAAGCTATAGCATCTGAAAGCACCGTACTTCAGTAGACAATCTGTATCTGAAAAACAACCAACAGAACTAGTGACTAATTTGCCGTCCGTGTGTTTGCCGTTCAATTCCTTCCTCCATTTTGCTGTGCTGGAGGGCTGGGCGGGCTATGTGCATTGACCATTGTGTGTCCTGTCCAAAAACCAAGTGTCCCGTAATAGTCCAGCAACAGGCCTATGTGGCTGTTTAAGTCTTTCGGCCACTCCTCTCACCACTGTATCATCCCTTTGATTGCTACATAACATTCTCCCTCGAATTATTTCACCTTTACTGACACGCCATCGCTTTTCTAAGGTCGGTAAGTCAAACGATTTCTCGAGTGCGAGCATCACTACTGTTCCATAGTCGATGAATTATGTTGAGGCGAATTTAATGTTGCAGCCGGTGACAACTGTGAACAGTGACAGCACCTTGACTAGACCAACGTCCATAGGGAAACACACAATGTCTTTTGTCGATAGCCCTGGACACTATTTATTTGCACCATGTGTGCAGCTCGACGTAAATGAGAAAAACCGACGAAATGCCCGCAATTCAGGGCCGTCCATCGCAAGAAACTCATGGACTCACGCGGATTATTCGGCTATCAGTTACATATGTAGAGCCTTATTTAAGGGTTGTCATTACTCCGATCATTATCATTTCGCTTTCCCTCAGCACTGCGCGTGCCGAAAGATGGCACCGCCGTTCACTAACTTGGACGAATTCCAGTAGCACAGCAGTATCGAGCTTGCCTGGCTAGAAAACTTAGGGATGAGATAGCTCATTGGTTAGAGCGCGAATGTACTGACGGAAGGTCCGTGGTTCGAACCCGAACTCTGCCTCTCGACTTCCCCTGTTTAGGCTTGGGCAACCTGGCAGTATCCCGTGCTTCTTTCTGGTGGCATGGCAATTAGGTACCGAAGGGGTGCTACAGCTGGACGATTTTTTTATTTTTACGCTAGAGAACTACTGGAAATTCAGTCATGCAATGACACAGATCTCTTAGAGGTTAAATGGAAGCGAGGTAAAGAAGTTGCGGTCTCAGCCTTTGGGATCTTCTCTCGAAGCCACCTGATTTGACTCAGTGGACACTGGATATCTTCGAGATCAAAACAGCGTAGTGGAATAGGACTACATCTTATTCCACTACGCGGTGTTCTGACTTTTGGAAAATTCCATATTACAGACCACCTATCACCCAATCTATGCAACACTATCATGGCCGAATTCGTCCCGGAACTCCGAAATTCTTTCATGCCACTCTGCCAGGTCACAGGTTGACCACCTCTCTGCTTCCACCACTGTGAATTGGGCGTGGAAAACAGCACTCTGTTCAGCCAAGGATGACCCGGTGTGCTCAATACAAGGCCTAATCATCGCAAATTCTCGTGCTCGACACATTCTTTGATGAAAGTTTGTGCTACACAATCAGACACTCATTTTATAATTGCCTCGTTTCGGATTCGCCGACACGAATTCTCATCATCTATGGTTCTAACACAGCGGTTGTCGATGACCTGAACACATCTCAGTCCCGCTGCCCGAAAATGCCACATCTTACAGCTTCTCTGAGGCTCACTTGTCTGTCTGACGTAGACTGGATTCGCCACATACGGACAGCGACGAACGACTTCTTCAGCTATGTGCTGACCGCAGGCATTTTTTATTGAGAACTACCGAAATAACGAAGTCGTCTGACCATATGGCGTCCTCCAACAGCGTGCCACCCACTGACCTAAGCTGTTCATGTCACCATCACTCACCGATGGCGTCGATCAATAACTGACCGCCGCCCGTTTTGGAACAGTTGTGCGCATTCTAACCATGCTCTCGTCCGGCGTCGCATCTTTCTTCGTTTTTCAGGACTTAAAAATCGTTAGGCAACTGAGACACTGGTAGATCCGAATGTTAGACGAATCTACCAGAATCGCCTGGACTACATTCCAACTGCTTCTCCATCGGACGGGAATTCGTGCTGGAACAAGATGGCTCCAGACATTGACCTGGAACTCCTACTGCCTGGGAGGTTTATGACTGCATATGTTTCCTTGAGCGTCATCGAGCTCCTGGTCCCGAATGACCTCCCACCTGCATTGTTCAAAGATGGGGACGCAGTCCTCAGTCAGCGATTGTCTCTTCTATTTGATTTCAGTTTGGAAAAGGCTTTGGAAAAGACTATTCCAGACAACCGGGGGAATCGGTGACAGTGCCCATTTTCAAAAAGTGCTTGTGGGAGTGCGGAAATCACCTTAAGATCAGCTTGATTCTGGTTGTAACAAGACTGTTGGCGTCACCTGTCCTTTGTCACCTTATGGTGGCTCGTGAATTACCGACTCGGAAGCAACACACATGATTGCGGCCTGGTAGGGGTTGCATTGACCAAATCTTCACATTTGGTCACTTGCTAGTACACGCCATATGCATAAACGGCCCACAATTCTAGTATTCCTGGATTTTTAAAGCGTGTTTGACTCCTTAACACGTGTGCGCATCAAAAAATGCCCCCGAAGTTCTTTGTATTCTCAGAGTTGAGGGCGTGTGAGAGTATACGGAAAGCCCTCCAAGAGCTTCCGTACACAAAATGGTGTCCGACAAGAATGCCCACTCTCTCCATTCCTGTTTCATTTCGCGATGGCCAAGCTAGTGAGACGAACACTGAAGGGCCTTCAAAACTCAGGAGTTCAGATATTTGTTGATGAAAAGCTCGTCGATCTGGAATGTGCCGACGACATCATTCTCGTCTTGAAGGAAAGGAGCAGATGTTCTTGGACAGATTGTCCAGAATCATCCGGTTTTTTGGCATACCCTTTGCACCCACAAAGTATAACGGTATACATAATATACAGTCACCGAAAGCGTTACTCACAATTTAAGGAGAGGTACACGAAGTTGTGGTTCGGTTTACCTATCCCTTAAGTTGTGTTAGTTCCTATTTTAATCGCATAGATGAGATTGACGCACTCTTATTTTCTGTTTTTCATTCAGCTCAGTCACTATGGGTAATACCCCAGCGCACCACAAGCGTCGCCTTTCAGGCGATGGTGAGTATAGGTTGTCTGGAACCACCCCAACGTATGTGAGCGTGACCATTCCACCCATGAAACGTCGGAACATGCACAGTATGACGGTAAGTTGGCTTGCGTCTTTTGGTTTTTTAGGATTGCTTGTTTGCAATTTCCGACTCATTTTAATCGTCCTAGGAAAGATCTCCACATACCACATGCACAATCCAGAATCCATGCAAAACAACGGGAATTAATTGTTTGAATTCAATTTAGTGCTGGCTGACTGTTCGGTAGTGGGTTCTGGTAGCCTCAACATCACCACATCTGCCATGGCAGTCTTAATCCATATGCTTATTTATTGCGTGACCGTCGGATGGACTATCCCAGTGTCCATTCTGTTTTGATTGTTCACTGTTCAACCCTTGGAACTAACTAATAGTGCTTCAATGGCGTGCTCTCTCTGCTACCATATGAAAGCCATTACCAGCAAACTCAGCTGCGCTGGCCATTGCCCTATCCTCGGGAAGAGACCTCGAGACGGGACACACCAATGTTTAGAGACCTTGTCAGACATGGCCCAGTCGTGCCCTCAATGGCGCTGGAGCAACCCAGCTTTTACCTTTAATGTGTGGCTCCCCCAATCGCCCGAATGCGAAGTTGACAATCCTTTATTTACGCATCAGTTATACTAGATATCGCCTCAATGCGCAGTTATCTACCGCACCTCCCCAAATCTTCGGTGAACGAAAATATGGCAGCCCTAACCGTTATACTATATGTACGTGGTTTTTGCGGCTGATGTTGGTGATGATGATATTACCATGTGATGCAGAATTCTTCCCGTACGTGGGAGGTGTACGGAGAAGTCGGTAACGTAAACCGTCTTCAGCAACTTTTATAACTGGTGAACAAACTTCCAGTTGCATACTTTAAGCAGTACCTGTCGAGGTTTATTATCTAGCTGTTGCTGATGCCCAATGGTGTTGCTTACAGTGCTCTTCCACCAACCGTAAGGGCCAGCTGAACTCGTTCCAGAAGAGCTTGATAAACAATCGGTAGCTTTTACCCGGGCAACGTTTCGCTTTTGACACAAAGGCTTCATCAGGTCAAGTAATCATGTCCCAAAGTTAGCCAGATTTCAAGTGTGGTTGCCCATCTATTACGTTTGATTAGTAGGGGGAATTTTCCAATTATTTTTTTTCGGGTTTGGTCCCTTGGTCTCCAGCAGACAACACTCTTCCTCGCTTATTGGTCTGTTTGGTAAACTCACCACGTCTCAATAGGTAGTAGGTGGTTCACTCTTCGATACTTACGTATTTGTGTGCCCTTGCAGTGTTGTCCTCGGATGACTTTCACTTCTGTCGTTTTGGTTTCGAGTAATTAAGCTAAACTCGTTCATATTAGAGAAGGTATGGTCGCAGTATGGAGGGACCAATGGCCTCACATGTGTGAGTACCATGCACGGCCACATTCGCATGTTGGAGAGGGATTCGTTACAGCGACGCTCTGTATGTAACTGAGAAACGCTTACTGGGTAATATGACAAGTCCACATATCGATCGTCGGCTTGTATCACATGGATCAGTACAACCTACTCGAGTAAAAACGAAAACTCAATGTAACAAGGCAATTACTTGGTAGCCGATTAACGTAGAATTGTGGTTCGGTACTTGGTCACACTTTCTACGTTCGATTCAGTCTTCAACCTGATTTACAGCTGTGTTACACGTTTCGAACTGCTGTCTTATCAAACAATCGATTGGGCTCAGTCGAGCCAGGAATAACCAGGTGACGTCGTGGTACAATTTTCCAGCAATGCAAGTGACTGCCCAAGCTAAGTCGAGGTTATCGTCATTATAGTGTCCCTCTTTTTGGCTGACCGTTTATTTTGAGGAATTTGATGGTACCTCTTGTTTGGTTCTTTCGGGTTTAGAATGCGAGGGAAACAAATTCCGTGCGGCTAAAATTGTCTCCCCGGTGCGGATTTCTCCTCACTGGGGACGGTGCGAGTACAAAACTGTTGTGCCCAAGAGAGGCTTCGTCCGCTGATGGGATTTTACAAAACACAACAAAAAATAACAGTAAATGGACCAATTGTGATGTAATTTGTGGTTGTATGGCCCTTTTCAATAGCCGTTGTTGCTCTAAGAAGACTATTCCATGTATTATGTCGGACTGAGGTCTTCATCAACTGAGAATTTCGTGATGGTACCTACCCTTTGAGAGGATTGTTCTACGACCACTGACCGTCGTTGAGCCATCAAGAAGTCAACGGGGGAAATGGTTGCAATTGTTAGTGGCGAATTGTTTTCTGTCGTCCACACCACTGTGTGCGTCAGACAAGTTGGTACTTTTGGGTCTGCGTACCGATTAATATATCGATCACGGAGGCAATTTCAGTAAGCATCTCGGAAGTAGCTGACGACCCATTTAGACTCATTGAAAAGTCTAGTGTGGGGCGAGTTGGAGGTGTACTTCTCGGTCCAACCAACTGTTGGCTCAGTCTGAACAATATGGACACTGGCAAATAACAAACTTCACCGAATTTTTATTGGTCTGCACTGATGACCTGACTATCAGCAGGCCATTTGTTTGACTATTCCCGGCCTGGAGAACAAACGGGCGTCGTATTGGGTTCAAATAAGGACGAAAGGCCTTAGGATCTGGTCCCCTCTTTCTTGCAGTTTCCAGGCGCGCATTTCCAGACAGTGTGGGTTAGCCGTCACCGTCGCCAAGTGCTCGAAAGTTATGCTAACAAAACTTGGCTCTAGTTTGTCAACACCACTGATTGGTAAACCGTGTGGTCATACCTACATACGCCCGAGAAGGCAGAGGTCGGGTTCGAACCACGAACCTTCAGGTCGGTAAATTTGCGCTCTAACCACTGAGCCGTTTCTCTTCCTTGCTTTTTGTTTTAATCCGTTCTACAACCATAGTTTTTTAACAGGGGTTTCTGATTATTGGTCCTTTCCTCTCCCATGAACTATTCACGTGGACAATAAAAACGGTATGAGTGTTGACCAGCTGACTCCTATTCGCCTAGTAGTGGGTCACACATAAATTCTTGAATGGTATAGGATAGATTAAAGCGTGGCTTGCAACGAAGCAGCCCCAGTCGCAACAGTTCTCACCATCCCATCTACTGTTGCGTGGAGACCGAATGTGAGGGTGTGATACATGAACTGACTTGCTACGTTCCTGTAGTTGTTGATGTTGTTTTCTGCTCCCAAATGTCCTGTCAAACCATTTTAGCTTTCCGAGACTACCAGCCTTCAAATCCAGGCACTTTCACCTCTCCATCGATAGACGAAGCCCTTAGCAAAAAGGCCTTCTTGCCCTTCGATTGTTACGGAATAACTAGCCTGTAATCCGCGAGCACAACTGTACGTGTTTTCCTACACCGATGGAGTTAGTTCCATTTGTCGCCACGAAGAGACTAGATCTTACCGTAGTGTGACGGTTTGCGCACCTCGGCGACCCATTGGGCTATACTGGAGGTCGTCCCCGTGACACTCACAGGGTCTCTCATGCCAGGTTGGTCAGTGGATAGAGGTCTGACAAACACAGTCTCCTGGTTTTTCAGGTTGGGAGTTGGAACATGTGGCGACTTGTTCCGTAGAAATAGTAATGCATTTGTCCTTCCCGCCAAACACCGCTGCCTTGCGGCTAGGTTTTCGAGCCAATGGCCCCTGACATTATCCCAGCCCATGTACGACCATGATATCTACGTCTGACAATAGACTCTTGCCACGTTGGCTACCGCGTGGTGCCATCAGCCGGGTCGCCTTACTCGCTGCATACAGCAGGGCCGGTAAGCGCAAACAGGCTACTGCTAACGCCTCACTTTTTTCTCTTTCATATACTTTTTCTTCCCCCTCTCCCCACCCTGGTAATGACTCCCGTTGTAGGCCCAGCAATTAGGACTGATGACTCCGTTCGTCTTGCATCGGTTTTGCGTGCTCGCCACATGGTGCCGACATCCTCAGGTATCTCCAAATCAGTATACTGCAGCGAAGTATCGGTGTTGAACACCGGTATCATGCTGTAGATGATATCTGAACAGATATCCGTATTTTGCATAACCCGAGGCAATCATATCGGACCAGATCAAACCGCTCAATATCGATCACTCGAACGGAATCCAAATTTTCCATGATCTGTTGTGGGATGATTGTGACTGAGTGAGAATTCCCGACCAGACAGTTTTGGCAACCAGCTGCTATTCTGGCGTTTCGCCCTCCTTTCCTCCTCGCCAAATTCCATTACAAGCAGACTGTCCGAAATGCATTTTGCAATCACAATTCCCTAAGCAACTGCGATGCCCCGTTGTCTGGTAATCACGGACACGTCTCATTTTATCTGATTCTGCGTCTGTCGTGATCTGTGATCACTTTATTCGGTGAAACAAACGTGCACTGCACTTCGCAGCAATGTTCAGTCTATCCGTAGAGGTCGGGCTAACAAACACACAAAAATTCAATGTTTGTCTATCTAGAGTTCCTCAAAACGGAACGCGTTTTAGTCACTAGTTTGTTTTTCATGGTTGCCTACCTAACTAATTTCTTCAATGTCCCAACAACAGGTCATGTTCAGTTCTGAACTGCATCTCCTCAATGCAGTCTGTTTTACCACCGGTACAGGGGACAACAATGACGCATCCTAGACGATGACCTAACCACTTTATTGCCGCCCACTCGTCATAGTCTCATGATCGTTTATCACTTGAGCAAGCCAACTAATGAAACCGTCCCTGTTATTCTGCGAATAATTGAAAACATGGCTACTGTTTGTGGTGAACCAACAGCTATTCCCATTCCCACTTGGGGAAAGTCATGTCGGACAGCTTTCGAGAAAAGCACCTTCCACTCCACAATGATCGTGCCAGCTACACTATATAAAATACACAGAATAGTTAGGGTGATCATGACGTGTCGGCGAAATACAGAAATGAATCAGGTAGACTACTGTCTCCCCAGACAGAACAGGCGTATCAACTGTCAGAAACGGTAGGGGACTTGACATGATCTCACAGTCGCGTGGACTTGAATCACAGCTGGGAGAGATGGCCCAAGTGGTTAGAGCTCGAATGTACTTACGGAAGGTCCGTGGTTCGAACCTGATCTCCGCCTCTCGACTTCCCTTGTCTAGGGTTGGGCAACCTGGCAGTATCCCAGCCCTCGTGCAACCTTCGGGTGGCTTGGCAGTTAGGCACTGAAAGGGTGCTACAGCTGAACGATTTTTCTCATCATCATCAATTGTTGACTTTTCACATCACCTTCAAAACTTCAACCTAGTACTTCTCCATGAGCACTGTCACCAAGGCTCGGGGATCAGTGATTAGATCGCGAATTTACTGACCGGAAGGCCCGTGGTTCGAAGGCGATCTCTGCATCTCGACTGCTAGGCTTGGGCAACCTGGCAGTATCCCAGCCCTTGTGCTTCCTTCGGGTGGCATGGCAGCTAGGCACCCGAAAGGTGTTACAGCTGAATGATTTATTTATGTTACCAACGCTCAGTTGTTCTGTATTCACACTGTTTTTGCACCCTACTCCCCAGGAAATACAACAGGAGACTTGTGTAGACTTTTTTCGGTTATCTAGCTATGTGGTCGCTTTACCGACAGCTTGTTGCCATCTCGTCATGCCGGACAATGTTTTCTTTAATTACAGACCTTGATACTGAGACAGTTTCAGTACAATTGTTTTGATCGACTGCCCAACCCAGGCTATTGTGCGGTCTCATCACTCTATCGATCCGCATTTAAGTTGTCTCACCCTACTACTACGAAGAAAGTACTTTGTAAAGCGAAATCGAGCTGCGAACTATTGGGATTTATCGGCTTCGTTTTGGAGCTGAGTTGTTCGGGCTATCTTACCCCACTGTACTGCCAAAACATGCGCATGCCTCGTCCACCATCTGTATGAGTTTCACGTCCTTCCAGAGATCTCAGCGTACTCTTCTTCGTTTACTCTCCTCAACCACCTCGCTGAAGGCCCGCGACGTCTATGCTTCAAGCAACTCGTATTTCAAGCTTATGGGCTTTGATGCACACCAGAGGGTTGTGATTTAGGAAGAAGAGCACCTCAGTTAGCTCCGGTTAAACCTCGGTTTATTGAAAAAAAGGGCGCTATGTTTTTTTTGCTAGTATATGAGCACCACCACCGCTGTAAACTGTGTGTTCGTTGTTCGAATGTATCTGATTGTGAGTGGCTCAGCTCCTTGTTGCTTCTCAAATGGCTTGTGTCAGTTGGTCGTTGTATTCCTTTGAACTGCTTCGTTGACTACCACCTGTCCCTTCTCTTGATCGCGCCCCCAACTTCCAGTTCGTATGAGTGGTACCCACGCTTTGCCTTTATCTCTCTAGAGTTTAGGGTTTTTGTACCTACAGCCTCTCCTTCCCCAGAAAGATAGTGGGCGCGCTTCTTGGTCGTAGTGCCCCTCCCCTCAGCTCACTACCTCGCCTAAGTAACGTATGCATCAATCAACATCTTAGAAAGAAGAAGTCATTCTACTGTTGAAAGGAAGAAGACTTTCGCCGCGGAGTTATCTATTAGAAAATGCCAACTGACCA